AGTTGCTAGTGGAAATCATTTTGAATGTATCATTTTCAATGACTTGCAGTATACATGGAAACATTTGGCTGTTGCACATTGTAACATGCATCTTCAGACAGTGAGAGTATTTGAGATTCATTTTAAGTTTGTGTGTGAGAGACTTTTGCACAGATTGCATGCTTGGAATTCACATTATTTAATTGTCATCTCTATGCATGTGCCACATATTCATCAAAGGATTACTTCTGTCCTTCTCAGTTACTGATAAACTCCATGTACATGTGCTTCATCCGCCTTGGTGACTTTTGTTCTGTTGGTGAGTAGTTTCCTCACATTGCTGTACTTAACATCTAGCTCAGGTATGGCTGTTGAAACTGTGTAACAGCACAATCTATTTGCTTATCTTGATTGTAACTTTGAAAATGCCCTTATTAAATGCAGATTTAATGCTGTTCCTGAGTGTCTATTACAGATGGGGATTCAGTCTATCAATCTTCAAAACAATATCAATGGGGCTACATACCTGCCGTTTGTTCAAAGCAGCTGGTCACACTTGGCTTTGTACTGAGGAAATATTATATCATCTTGGTCCTTCAAATATTTGCCTGGAGGAAGACAGAAGAGACACCTCCTGTAAATCAACATTCAGAAAGTTGAACTAATCATCGTAATATTAAAGTTCATAGTCATGAGGATGTGTTATTTTTCTTTAAAGCCAACAATTTAACAGAATCACAGGTCTGATTCCATTGTTGCCCTGAGCTGCTGCTTGTCTGGAGATTCGATACCAATTGAGTGAGATCCAGAAATTGAGCAACAACTGCACAACTCCATAAATGGGCTAACCGAAGCAACCGGCATATTTACAATGTTCAACTTCCAACACACGAACTGTTAAAAGAAAGAATAAAGGGCGCTATTTTAAATGCTTCACTTGAAAAGTTTAACCTGATCACTCAAATATATGTCCTTTTCAGGGTTATCACATTCCTCTCGTCTGTCTGTATTTCCACTGTTCACTGTGGAATGTCCAAAACAGCGTAAAACAGAAGCTAAACAATGAATTTGCATCAGTGTTTCGAGATTTGAAAACCACAAGAATGATCCCCAGCAGCTTCTTGCCGCTGTGTCTCCCTCAGCAGGCCCACACACAGCCCGACAAAGGCCTCTCTCTTCCCCCCGGAAAGCTGCTCACTCCAAGTTCCAGGACCAGTTCCGGCTCCGCTCGGCCTCTTCAAACAGCTCCCAGTTCTCCCTGAACTGAGCCCGAATCAATGCCGGTCTCGGAGCCCCCCTCTGTGACCCAGGCTCACATCTCGCTGTGCTGCTGGAAGGAGCCTGCTGTTCCCTCGCTTCCCTGGGCGCTGATCTCTCCATTGCGTTCTGTTTCAAATAAACTTCTTCCACTCACTGAGTAAATGCTCCTCAATGGCAGCGCTGGAGGAGGGCCTCACGCATGCGCTCCTCTCGCCAGCAACAAGCAGGTGCAGGGCCAGTATCGCGCATGCGCTGCTTTCCCCAATGATTTCGAGAAACAAACATCAATGGGTCATTTCCCCAATTCCCTTTTCTCCCAGTTCCAGGAAAGCAATTGGGGTTGTGGGGGTAAGGGCAGAGAACGTTTCACGCTGGTGCATTGGCCCTTTCTGAAGCTCCAATGGAGCTCATTCTCGGGTCGTGTTAATTTTCTGAAGAAGGGTCTAGGCCCGAAACGTCAGCTTTCCTGCTCCTCTGATGCTGCTTGGCCTGCTGTGTTCATCCAGCTCTACACCTTGTTATCTCATTTTAATAACTGCCTCCCTCCGGCTCTCTCACTATCTGATGGGGAAGCGGAGAAGCTGACGGCCATTACTCCACCAATTAATGACGTGAATTGTTCGTGCTCCAATTGAGCTCTTTACTCTTGACGACAACCAAACTATAAGTATTAACTCTCTTGTAGCAAATAACAAAGAGTGCGATGATATCAATGGTTCATTCTCACAACGCCAGGATTTGACAATTGTGATGAATTTGGTGACGCAGTGGTAGTGATGCTATGTCTGGGCCAGGAGGTCCGCTTCAAGTCGACCCGATCCAAAGGTGTGTAATAACCTCTCTGTGACTCGATACAAATCTCAGTTTAAAGTAGATGACTGGTTTTCGTGTGAGCCATGCTGCAGACGTCAACCGTGTGACGTGTGGGGGAGCTCAAAGGGACGACAATATTAACAATATTCAACCGTGATTTGGACAAAGAAAACAAACGTAATATTTTTATATTGAGAGATAAAATGAGAATAAACATAAATGTGTGTTTTGTGGAAGTCATTAACCTTTTGTTTTAAGAGGATTTGGACAGTCTTCATTACTGGGGAAGAATATTGCAGACATTTTAAAGAAAAAAAATGTCGAATGTGGGCATCACTGGCTGGTCCCAACATTGATTGGCCCTCCTGAAATGCCCTTGAGAAGGTGGTAGTAAACTGCCTTCTTGAACCGTTGCAGTCTCTGAGCTGGAGGGAGACCCATATTACCATTAGGAAGGGAATTGCAGCATTGTCACCGATTGACACAGAACGGACGGTCGATATATTTCCAAGTCAGGATGGCGAGTGGCGTGGAGAATATCTTGCAGATCGTGCAGTTCCCATGTTCCTGCTGCCCATGTCTTTCAAGATGGAAGTGGTCGTGAGTTTGGAAGGTGCTGTCTAATTCAATATTTGAGGGAGTGGATGTTAGTGATTGTGGTGCCAATCGAACAGGAGCAGCTTTTTCATGGATAGTATCTTGCTTGCCGTGTGTTGTTGGAGCAGCAATAACACAGGTAATGGGGGGCATAGAGGGGAAACCTTTACACTCCTGACTTGAATGTTGGAGATTTTGGACAGGTTTGAGAAGTCAGGAGTATTGCTGCAGTATCCGTAGCCTTGGACCTGCTCTTGTAGCCACTGTATTTATAGGGCGAGTCCGGTTCAGTTTGTAGTTCATGGTAGTTCCCAGGATGTTGATAGTGGAGGATACAATGATGCTGAGGCCCAGGTCAAAGGATGCCTCACTGCACAACTCTGAGACGCAGTTTTACACTCACACACTGATCAGACTTGATATAGCCTCCATCCATCCTAACAGCAACCTCCATCACTACAACCCCCAATCCCAACTCTCTCGGGTATTGTATCGGTTAATGTGACTGATGGTGAACAGAACTGGACATGTAGCACTAACCCTGAAAACAATCCTCCTGTATTACAGCGGAGGCAGTCACTGTTCCTTCCCCTCTCGGAAAGTCTGACCAGGCACCCACTCACCTTGACCGGTGGTTTGCTACCATCCATCATGCTGAGAAACTCCACGATCTGTGTCAGTGTTTACTTTTGAACTCGTGAACTCTGGTTGAGATTGAGAATGACTTTTCGCCGTCAGGGCAGGAAGAGCAAGTACAATTGAAATCACTGGCCATGCTCACTAAAGCGAAGGGCAAACCCAAAGTGAAAGCAGCCAAGAAAACAGCAAAGAAGTCACTAAAGATAGTAGGAACTGCCGATGCTGGAGAAACACAGACAGGCAGCATTAGAGGAGCAGGAAAGCTGACGTTTCGGGTCTGGACCCTTCTTCAGAAATGGGGGAGGGGAAGGGATCTCTGAAATAAATAGAGCGCGGGTAATAGAAGGTGGGTAGTGGGAGAGAAGAGGGACCGGTCAAGGAGGCGGGGATGAAGATAGTAAATGTGAATGTAGGTAGGAAGAGGGGGTGGGGGCACGTCAGTGAGGTGGGAGGAGCGGATAGGTGGGAGAGAAGACGGACAGGTCAAAGAAGCGGGGATGGAGGGGGGATCTTAGGATGAGGTCAGGGTTGGGGAGATTTTGAAGTTTGTAAAGTCCACATTGAGACCACTGGGTTGTAGCCTTCCAAGGCGGAATATGAGGTGCTGTTCCTCCAGTTTCTGGATGGCATCGTTGTGACACTGGAGGAGGCCCAAGATGGACATGTCGTCCAGGGAGTGGGAGGGGGAGTTGAACTGGTTCGCGACTGGGAGATGTTGTCCTTTATCGCGAACCGAGCGTCGGTACTCCACAAAGCGGTCTCCGAGCCTCCAGTCGGTACAACATGTAGTCATATGAAGCCAAAGGCTGTTCTCAGAGCCACCCACATCTCTCAGGAAAGAGCTGAGTCCGGATCAAATGACCCCTGTCCCGGCTTCGACCGTAGATATACCTTAGATATTAATTGATTTGAATAACTCAAATACACACTTCCGTGCCGTGATTTACACCCATCCCCTCTCCCACATTCTACAATAAATCAGTGTAAGGTCCCCCTCTGACTGTCACTGAGCATCAGTTCGGGTGCAATTTCAGTTCATCTCCGTTTCCTTTTCACATATTAAGGGTGAGAGTCCCTAAGAGAGTAACAGTGGCGCAGAAACCACACTTCACAACAGAATTCCCAAGAAATGCCTTCATCTGATTCATCGGAGGAATAGAAACTGACATTGAATTAGAAGCAGCCGTGTTTTCTTGTTAAAGAAAGGCCGAGATATGGGCGTTTAATTGTAATACAATTGCTTTTAAAATCTCCAGTTTTAACTATCTTTGAACGTAAAGCTTGAGTCTGTAGGTTTTCTGCGGGCATTATGTTCACTGCCCTTGTGGAGAATAGGTTTAATTACAGAGATAGTAGGAACTGCAGATGCTGGAGAATCTGAGATAACAAGGTGTAGAACTGGATGAACACAGCAGGCCAAGCAGCATCTTTCTGAAGAAGGGTCTAGGCCCGAAACGTCAGCCTTCCTGCTCCTCTGATGCTGCTTGGCCTGCTGTGTTCATCCAGCTCTACACCTTGTTATCTCAGGTTTAATTACAGATCCATTTGGGGGCTGGAGTTAGCTGGAGGCGGAGCTGGACATTTCTCTGTCTGTCACTCAGTTTCCTCTCGGGGCTGCCTCTCACTCTCTGTCAGCTCTTTCTCAGTCAGGTCGGGGCGGGCTGTATAAAAAAGGAAGGTGAGGCAGCTCGGCTATCATTCGGCAGCGATTGAGTGAAGAAGCGTGATGTCTGGTAGAGGCAAAGGAGGCAAAGGCCTGGGAAAAGGCGGAGCGAAGCGGCACCGCAAAGTGCTCCGTGATAACATCCAGGGTATCACAAAACCAGCCATCCGGCGCCTGGCTCGCCGTGGCGGAGTCAAGCGCATCTCGGGCTTGATCTACGAGGAGACCCGCGGGGTGCTGAAGGTTTTCCTGGAGAATGTGATCAGGGATGCGGTCACCTACACTGAGCACGCCAAGCGCAAGACGGTCACTGCCATGGATGTGGTGTACGCTCTGAAACGCCAGGGCCGCACTCTCTATGGATTCGGCGGCTGAGCAAATGGACCCTTTTCCAGCGAATCCAAAGGCTCTTTTCAGAGCCACCCAATCCCTCCAATTGAGAGCGGAAACCTGAGGACGGAAAAGGCAGCACATCGGGAGGGTACAGTGTACCTCAGCTGTTTACTTCACATCTTTAGCGGTTTTTAATTTTGGATCAATCCTGTACGAAAATACACTAATTTCGTGTCCAGCGTTACAGGAGAGAGAACAGGCAGGGCAAATCATTCCCTTTTTTTGCTGTCTGTAGTAACTAATATCTTATAATCAAAGTATCCCTACAGTGCAGATAGAGGCTTTTCACATATTCAAGAATAAACTGAAATGCAGCTGGTTATACCACATAGCGACTAAGAGACAGAAGCAACAGTCGGTTCTGTCATTCGATCATGGCTGATGTGTTTCTCAACCCTGACGTGCCTTCTCGCCTTAACATTTGGTCTTGTGAATACCTGTCTATCTCGGTAATAATACCAGTGTGCGTAGTTGGCTGTCCATACCATGAATAATAATATGTTCTTTCATTATTTTTGGGACCCAGACGCTAATGATACATATTGCAGTATTTGTACTTCATTGACGCTTCCAGTAATGATACGTTGTTCAAGTTTAATTCTGGCAGCCCGTGTCGATGTTTTCGTGGCGTGTTCTTTCCATCTGCCTGTTACAGACAGTTCCGGCAGTAATTACACTTTGTGTTCGGGCTAATTATAATCAGGGTGAAATAAAAAGGATAGTGATATCCTGTATTTTTATCGGGATACACTGTATTAGCTTTTAAGATGATTAAATCGGCGGCTTGTTTCGATTAACGGAGGTTACACGTTCGGTAGATCAGTTTGTCTGGGCTGTATAAAACCCCGCGCTTTCCTCCTGCCTGTAACAGATCAGGAAATGATCCAAAGTCCTGACCGCGCTGACTGCAAGCTCCGTTTCAAAGAAAATTTATAAAGTATAAGGTATCATCTTAGTTGCAGACGAATGATGCTTTGCGTTTTAATATTTATTTATTCTCACGGTAAAATCGACGGGCTATTTGAAATTGGCAAACTGTCATTTCAAGTTAACCAATCAGCCTTCAACAATTATTTTACTGACTTTTCTGTACCTTCTGGAGCTGTTTCTCATGGGTTTGAGGGACGGGACTGTATCCAATCCCAGCTCGAGGGCGGGCTCTTCATTCCCTTAAATAGGCAGCACCGCAGCAGGCTCAGCATTGCTAGCAGCAGCCTTTAAGTGTGATACAGTAAGTTGAAGAGAATGGCCAGAACCAAGCAGACAGCGCGCAAATCCACCGGAGGAAAAGCTCCCCGCAAGCAGCTGGCGACTAAAGCGGCCCGCAAGAGTGCTCCGGCCACGGGCGGAGTGAAGAAGCCTCATCGCTACAGGCCCGGCACGGTGGCTCTGCGGGAGATCCGCCGCTACCAGAAATCCACCGAGCTACTGATCCGCAAACTGCCCTTCCAGCGCCTGGTGCGGGAGATCGCTCAGGACTTCAAGACCGATCTGCGCTTCCAGAGCTCGGCTGTGATGGCCCTGCAGGAGGCCAGCGAGGCTTACCTGGTGGGTCTGTTTGAGGACACCAACCTGTGTGCCATCCATGCCAAGCGAGTCACCATCATGCCCAAAGACATCCAGCTGGCCCGCCGGATCCGCGGGGAGCGCGCCTAAACGGAGCGTGCCCGGCTCCGCACACTCCGAGAAACCCAACGGCTCTTTTCAGAGCCACTACACCGTCCAGGGAGAGCAGCAATCGGTAGGTGCTATTGCCTTAATTAATGTAAACCCATAGCGTGCTAGTGCTGTAGTGTGTCAATGCTGCAGCAGTTACAGGAACTGAATGGGCCTGTGATATGCGCTAACGTCATATTAAAGACAGAAGGCAACTCGGGGCAATCAGGTTTATAGGTTGATATTTTCAGTAATTACAACACAATTCAAGTACTGCACCCCACATATTCAGAACTTAATAAATTTCCGATTGAAACACACACAGCCAATTGATTCCCTTGGCGTTTCACCGGCTGCAACTGAACTTGGCGGAGGAGGATGATGGGAAACAATCGTCAAATCATCAATCACTTGCTTTCCAATTTCAAAAGCCCACCAAAACGTACAAATGATTTTATATTTTTGGTCGTGCAATTCAAATTTTGCCCAAACTCCCAGTACTGTATTCATTCGATCCTCTCAGGATGGTCAGTTCAGACTCGAATGGCCTCTTTCTGGCGGGTAGGCATTCCATGACTGTTGTTCCCTGTCAGCGTATTAATGGGGACACTGCTTTTGAGTTATTATTTAAAGTCACTGCCCTACAGTAAAACCTCCAACTTTATTATTCCAGTCCGGCAGCTGTTCTAGTTTTATCTTGATTAATCTCATTTACAGAGTCCCGGGTCTACACATAAAATGAAAATTAATTAGCCAGCAGTAATGGTCTAGCTGCTTTTCACTGATGTTGTGAGTGGCTCTTAAAAGAGCCTTTGGGATGTCAGATTCACGTCTCTTCACTTTTTAGTGGCCCCCCCAGCGGCGGTTTTCTTGGGCAGCATCCCGCCCTGAGCGATGGTCACCCCTCACAGCAGCTTGTTGAGCTCCTCGTCGTTGCGCACGGCCAGCTGGAAGTGCCTGGGGACGATGCGGGTCTTCTTGTTGTCCCGGGCCGCATTACCGGCCAGCTCGAGGATTTCAGCCGTCAGGTACTCGAGCACCGCAGCCAGATAGACCGGCGCTCCGGCACCCTCACGCTCAGCGTAGTTACCCTTTCTCAGGAGCCTGTGAACACGGCCCACCGGGAACTGTAGACTAGCCCGGGACGACCGGGACTTCGCCTTGGAGCGAGCTTTCCCACCAGCGCCCTTTCCTCTCCCAGACGTGGCCACAACCTCACAAGCACTTTCACAGAGAATGGTGCAATGCGCCCACATTCCGCAGGAATGGGGTGAGGAACAGGGGTGCGGCCATTGCTGATTGGTCACATTGTTCAGTATCTCCTTATGTAGTTTCAATTCCCAATCAGATACCTGCTTCACTCACCAATCCGGGGAGGAGGCCGCATAATACTGGCGCCAAATCAAAAACAGCTTTCTTTCTGATTTGAAAAGCCCGCCAATATGTACAAAACAGGAATAAGTTTTACAAAGAAGAATGCGTTCATACTTCAGATAATTTACTTTTAGAATACACCTGTATACTTAACACAATCTCTCTCTGATTCCCTGGCCTAGTTGAATCCTTCTATTTCTGATTTTGATGGGGGGTTTTTTTGCCCTAAACCTAAAGAATAAGCGGAAGGGGAATAAAAAGAGCCCTCTGAAAATTGTTCTCTGCACAGATTGATTTTATTTCACATCAGCATCCGGATATATTGATAAAAGTATCATACAACTATTTCTTTCTGGTGAGCGCAGTATTGCTTTAAACAATATTTTACAGTCGCCCTCCCTATTGCACTAGATCAACAATATTTCCACTTTTACGATGCCAGTCCGGCAGCTGTTCTGCTTTCATCGCGGTTCACTTTGAAATTCTCCCGCCGACAGCAGAAAGCCTCATCTATAGCTTTCTGCAAAACCGGATAGAACTCGCGGGGAGATTTGAAAATAAAACAAAATTCCTCAGTGTGGAAACCGTAGGAAAATACCGGCGCCAAATCATCAACCGTTTACTTTCCGATATGAAAAGACCGCCGATATGGACAATATGAAGTCGAAGTTTTACAAAGATTTACAAAAAATGCTTACGATTTAATTTCCTCTTAGTTAAAAGTGTTCACTTCACACAATCTCTCTATCTCACTCACTAAGCAACACCGTTTTTACAAAATTTTGTAAAGTGGCCCTCACTTATTGTGCTAGATCAGACTTTCCGGCTGGTCTCGGTTCATTTTGAAAGCCTCCCACAGACAACAGAAAGCCCCACACACTGCAAACTGAAAAAAAAATAGGATAAATTCCCTTACAGATTTGGAAATTGAAACAGAAATCGCACGATATTTCTATTAATGGGACTCAAATAAGAGGTCATATTTTTTCGTTACCACGGGTGAAATCCAGCGTCCATTGCCCACTGGGACAAGTTTGAAAAACCCTCCAACATGTAGGAAATAGGGGAAAAAAAAGGTTACAAAGAGGATTGAATAATTTATTTTTTCTTTGAATTTAATTCACTTTCACATTACAAGTGCACCCTGATATATTTATAAAACCTCACACAACGTTTTTCCGGGTGAGCGGGTTAAAACTTTAAACAATAGTTTGAAGTTGCCCTCCCCTATTGTCCTTGAACAGACAGTTTCACACTTGCGATTGCAATCCGACAGCTGTTCTGGCTTTATCTCAGTTCATTTTGAAAGCCTCTTACCGACAGCTGAAAGCCTCATTTACAAGCATTCTGCAAAAAGGATGGAGAAGGAAACTGCAGGGGCTGGGCACAATTGAAATGTGGAGCTTGTTCAAGGAACAGCTACTGCGTGTCCTTGAGAAGTATGTACCTGTCAGGCAGGGAGGAAGTGGTCGAGCGAGGGAACCGTGGTTTACTAAAGAAGTTGAATTTCTTGTCAAGAGGAAGAAGGAGGCTTATGTAGAGATGAGGCGTGAAGGCTCAGTGAGGGCGCTTGAGAGTTACAAGTTAGCCAGGAAGGAGCTAAGAAGAGCCAGGAGGGGGCATGAGAAGTCTTTAGCAGGTAGGATCAAGGAAAACCCTAAAGCTTTCTATAGGTATGTCAGGAATAAAAGAATGACTAGAGTAAGATTGGGGCCGGTCAAGGACAGTAGTGGGAAGTTGTGCGTGGAGTCCGAAGAGATAGGAGAGGTGCTAAATGAATATTTTTCGTCAGTATTCACACAGGAACAAGACAATGTAGTCGAGGAGAATACTGAGATACAGTCTATTAGACTAGATGGGATTGAGGTTCATAAGGAGGAGGTGTTAGCAATTCTGGAAGGTGTGAAAATAGATAAGTCCCCTGGGCCGGATGGGATTTATCCTAGCATTCTCTAGGAAGCTAGAGAGGAGATTGCAGAGCCTTTGGATTTGATCTTTATGTCGTCATTGTCTTCAGGAATTGTGCCAGAAGACTGGAGACTAGCAAATGTTGTCCCCTTGTTCAAGAAGGGGAGTAGAGACCAGTGAGCCTTACTTCGGTTGTGGGTAAAGTGTTGGAAAGGATTATAAGAGATAGGATTTATAATCATCTAGAAAGGAATAATTTGATTAGGGATAGTCAACACGGTTTTGTGAAGGGTAGGTCGTGCCTCACAAACCTTATTGAGTTCTTCGAGAAGGTGACCAAACAGGTGGATGAGGGTAAAGCAGTTGATGTGGTGTATTTGGATTTCAGTAAAGCGTTTGATAAGGTTCCCCATGGTAGGCTATTGCAGAAAATACGGAGGCATGGGATTGAGGGTGATTTAGCGGTTTGGATCAGAAATTGGCTAGCTGTAAGAAGACAGAGGGTGGTGGTTGATGGGAAATGTTCATCCTGGAGTTCAGTTACTAGTGGTGTACCTCAAGGATCTGTTTTGGGGCCACTGCTGTTTGTCATTTTTATAAATGACCTGGATGAGGGCGTAGAAGGATGGGTTAGTAAATTTGCGGATGACACCAAAGTCGGTGGAGTTGTGGATAGTGCGGAAGGATGTTGCAGGTTACAGAGGGACATAGATAAGCTGCAGAGCTGGGCTAAGAGGTGGCAAATGGAGTTTAATGCAGAAAAGTGTGAGGTGATTCACTTTGGAAGGAGTAACAGGAGTACAGAGTACTGGGCTAATGGTAAGATTCTTGGTAGTGTGGATGAGCAGAAAGATCTCGGTGTCCATATGCATAGATCACTGAAAGTTGCCACCCAGGTTGATAGCGTTGTTAAGAAGGCGTACAGTATGTTAGGTTTTATTGGTAGAGGGATTGAGTTTCGGAGCCATGAGGTCATGTTGCAGCTGCACAAAACTCTGGTCCGGCCGCACTTGGAGTATTGCGTACAGTTCTGGTCACCGCATTATAGGAAGGATGTGGAAGCATTGGAAAGGGTGCAGAGGACATTTACCAGGATGTTGCCTGGTATGGAGGGAAGGTCTTATGAGGAAAGGCTGAGGGTTTTGAGGCTGTTTTCGTTAGAGAGAAGAAGGTTAAGAGGTGACTTGATAGAGACATACAAGATCATCAGAGGATTAGATAGGGTGGACAGTGGGAGCCTTTTTCCTCGGATGGTGATGGCTAGCACGAGGGGATATAGCTTTAAATTGAGGGGTGATAGATATAGGACAGATGTCAGAGGTAGGTTCTTTACTCAGAGAGTAGTAAGGGCGTGGAATGCCCTGCCTGCAAAAATAGTAGACTCGCCCACTTTAAGGGCATTTAAATGGTCATTGGATAAACATATGGATGATAATGGAATAGTTTAGGTTAGATGGGCTTCAGATTGGTTTCACAGGTTGGCGCAACATCGAGGGCCGAAGGGCCTGTACTGCGCTGTAATGTTCTATGTTCTATCTATTCGTGGGACTCGAACAGTTAGTTTTCTTTCCGGGGGTGAAACTCCTGATCAAGGGGTAAATAATAACTGGAAATATAGAAGTTGCTGAAAAATGACTCCGTGACGATAAATATGCTCTCTGAACAGGGAGGGAAAAGAGACTGGGTAGGAAGGCAACCGAGACTAAAGGGCACAGGGTCAGGGACCCCAGGTTAATTTTTAGAACGTTTGTAAAAACAAAGATAAAGCTTAGAGACATTAATTATAAATAGAGAATCATTTACAAACTCAAAATGGTTCAACTGCTTCAGTGAAATTGGGGGTGGCTCTTAGAAGA